CAATCAATCAATCAATCAATCAATCAATCAATCTATCTATCTATCTATCTATCTATCTATCAATCACAGAGAGCACAGAGCACTGCTGACAGTGCATTCAATCAGGGCTGCGTTTCTCAAAAGTATCATAAGAAAGCATTAAAGCTTTTGGGAATGGCAGCCCTGAACAATGCTTATCAGGGGACAGAAAAAAAACATAAATGTTTGAGTTATTTCACAATAAACAAATTGAAATTGTAGCCTACATAGTTTGTGCAATTACAATTATTTAAATTGAACGTTGAAAGATAATATTGATCATGTTCTATTCTGTAATGTTAATAGAAATCATACACTGTCAGAATAAAAAGGTTGCATTTAATGCATGTGTAGCGAATCAGCTCATGGGGAAATATGAATAATTAACCATAACTAGTTATAATTAACTATTCATATTTTAGATCCACTGTAGATATTTAGCTGACCACTCAGGGTCAACTGTCTTGTCAATTCTAAGCGTTAATTTCCTGGTTAAGGGAAATAACTTTCTTACTGTACAATTCTATAAGCTTGTAACGTAAATCTGCATGATTATTGACTCCGGTTATGAGCAAACAATGAACACGTCAAGTGTGATACAAGTAAGGTTTTATTAACTACATAAACACTTAAACTAGTCTAACATACTACATAAACACATAAACTGGTCTAACATCCTACATACACACATAAACTGGTCTAACATACACATACACACACACACACACACATACAGTTGGTATAGGAAAGGGTTAAAGTTTAACTCAGCACAGAAAGAGGCATAAAGAATGAATTTTATGGAACACTTTGCATATTCAGCAGATCTAAAACCTGAGGGAAAACGTCAGATTCTTAGCTCAAACACACCTTGTAAAAAGGTGTAACTGATACTTAATGCATCAATTAAAACGACTAAGTTTGATACTTGCGAGTCTGTCTGAAAAAGATTCCTGATGCAATCTTAAGGCCCCAAGATCTTGCTGAAGTTGGTTGATGAAAAAGAGCTAGTTTGAGTCAGAATCACTTGATGAATGAAAAGGACTAGGCCCGAGCCTGGCACGAGCTTTGGTATCCTGGAGCGTTTCTCACATCTTCATCTTAGCATCTCACTGAACCACCGAACAGGGCGGGTCACATGGAGTGTGGCCTTTTAAAGCCTGCAGAGATTCACGCCTCTCAAGATGGGTTCGTCCAATGAGGAAGGCTGAAATCCCAAGCGGGAGGTTGGAAATACTGAGGATTTTTATGACTCTTTGTCTGTAAGCATGGTATTTTGCATATGTAATTCGCTGGAGTGTTGAGGCACAAATTAGTACCGATTCTTAGAACATCAATATGTTGCAGAGGTATCAGCATGTAATATGCACTCTCAGTTAGATCATCCGAAGACGAATTCATAGATACTAGACATGGTAGAGTTACTTATATGAATGAGTGGTTTATCGTAAGCATGAATAAAAATAGTCTATAATACAACAGATTAAATACAACACAGCAATAATATACACAATGGCCTGAAGAAAATGGGTGTTTAAAACAGTTTAAAATAGCTGTGCTAAGTTATATAACAATTTTTAAGACTGCAGAAATATGTTAATTCAGTATACACATTATCCCACCGGTTACAATTGTGGCTGACCATAAAATAACATTTTTCACACACTTTTCCAAAAAAAAAAGATTGATTATTTCAAAGGGTTACTAATGACACATCATTTGGATATTTTCATGTCTGGGAAAAATTTGGGATTAAACGGGTTAAAATGCGTTTTAAACATAAAGTTAAGTGGTTTTCATTACCCATTTTACTCTTAGTAATTTAATAATTTAATAAATTTCATAATTTAAAAGTTTAGTGCAGAAGTATCGAATCGGTATCGATATCGACGATACTGCCTTGAAAAATATCGGTATCGTATCGAAAACAAAAGAAGGGGTATCGCCCATCCCTAGTTTATGCTCATAGTCCAAGTCTTCTTCTCTGTTTTTAGTGTATCTCTGTGGCAGAATTACAGCGCCACATGCTGGTCTGGCATGTATACTACATCGTTTTGTGTCGGTTTTGTGGTTTCGTGTAGAAGCAGATATTTCTTGAGATGAGGGGGAAAAAAAGATTGGATAGGGAAAGCTCTGGCTTCGTGTGGACGTAGCCAAAGTCATTTCACTTTCAACTGTGATCAGCTGTGGTCATTTTGATTAGCTCAGCATGAAAATAGCTTTCCTGGAGCATTTCAGTCCTTGGTAGTGCAACTGAAGCAAACAATCAACTATTGGTGGCAAGGCACTGTCAAAAGATCTCCGGGATAAAGTTGTGGACAGGCACAAATCAGGAGATGGATACAAAAATATTTCAAAGGCTTTATCAATGCGTAGAAGCACAGTGAAGTCTATTATTAAGAAGCGGAATGTATTTGGTACAACACAGACCCTCCCTGGATCAGGACGATGCTCCAAACTGGATGAAAGAGCCAGGAATAAACTGGTCAGAGAGGCTACCAAGAGGACCACAGCAACTCTGAAGCAGTTGCAGGAATTTATGACATGACTTGAAGTCTGCAGTCCACAAACGCTCACCATCAAATTGCACTGAATTTGAGCAGTTCTGCTAAGGAGAGTCGACAAATATTGCAAAGTCTAGATGTGCAAAGTTAGTAGAGGCATATCCCAACAGACTAAAGGCTGTAATTAAAGCAAAAGGAAGTTCAACAAAATACTGACACAAGGGGGTGAATCTTTTTCCAAATCAGTGATTTTTTAATATATTTTTCAGACATGTTGGTGTTATATCTTTCAATTGGATGTTTAGGCTATTTTTGTACAACCTACATTTTTTTCTCTCTCTCTTTGCGACACTTTTTCCTATTGTGTTGTAAATGTTAAACGAACTGGATCCTGACAAGACGAATAAAAATAAAAAATAAAATTTTTGTACAACATTTTTATGAGATAAAAAAAAAGATTAGTTGTAGGACTATATTCTGTCATAAATCGCATACCATTCATTGCTGAACTTTCTACCGTCCATTACCGGAAATGAAATGAAATTACTGGTTGATATGTCCCAATCTCAATACACGCTTTCGGTCCGTGAATTAGATATCGCTCGGTACGCGCGCTGCCTGTGGAGGTTTGGCCAGGACCGGTTCCAGAATTAAATTGAATGAACATTTTTTGTTCCGTCCATTGCCAATCACTGCTATTTCGAGAGTTCTTTTTCCCCGTGTCACTTGGAATGTTTCCGTTTTGAATCGTTGTTACCAAAGGCGAAACACGTGAGATAAAAAAAAGATTAGTTGTAGGACTATATTCTGTCATAAATCGCATACCATTCATTGCTGAACTTTCTACCGTCCATTACCGGAAATTAAATGAAATTACTGGTTGATATGTCCCAATCTCAATACACGCTTTCGGTCCGTGAATTAGATCTTGCTCGGTACGCGCGCTGCCTGTGGAGGTTTGGCCAGGACTGGTTCCAGAATTAAATTGAATGAACATTTTTTGTTCCGTCCATTGCCAATCACGAGCAATTCCCCCCCCCCCCCAATGTCGCCCATGTATATATAGGGATGGGCAAGTTAACGTGTTATTATCGCGTTGATGCATTAATTGATTAACGCAGACAATTATTTTATCGCACGTTAACGCAGTTTTTTATTATTATGAAAGTCCGTTGCTCACTGGCTCTGAATACACACACAGACAAACCATGGATCACAGGAGCGGTGGGATGTTGATCAGTAGTAGGTTACTGGCTTTGGATGAGCGTCATCATGCGTCTCAACCAATGAAAGCATATGGGGTGGACCGAAGACTGCAGCAGTGCTCACAACTTCGTGAAGACAGCAGAGAAGCGCTCTCGTTCAGCACAGTGGAGTGCATCATTTTGTTAACTTTGTGGTTTAATATTTTGAGTCGTTTGGGACGCGGTGACACACGGCCTTCTCACAATATATTGCTTTACAGATCTATTTATTTTTTTTCCGCTCAGAAATGTTCACGCAATCATGTTGCACGTATCAAAAGTTCAGTGCTCCGACACTACATGCGCACCGTGCCCGAGCCCAACTGAACCGCACTGTGGCCCACCTCTTCCAACCGAGCCAGGGCCGGCTAAACGAACCGCGGTCACACTAGTCAAAAAAAACGGGATTTGGGGGTCAAATGCGCTCAGGCATGATTAAGATTGCCTAGTGTGAGTACTTATTCTCCCGCATCCCGCACACACCCGCACTCGTGTTAAAGTGTTTGAAAAAAGCAAATGTTATTGCACTTTTGTTCATATAGCAGTACTTTTAAATGAAAAAAGTGCACAATACACTACTTTTGAATTCATTATTGAATTTTGTGCATAACAATGCGATTAATCGCGATTAAAAATTGTTGCTCAGCACTAATATATATATATATATATATATATATATATATAAATAGAGGTCCTACAAATAAGCTTTGTGTTCTTTATGAAAAATAATATTTCTTATTCTATTTACTCTCATATTTTTTAATAGTTCAATATCATAAAATATGACCTGGAGATGTTCTAGACAAGTTTTGTAAGATTCCCCCCCTGCAGTGATTGACTGAAAAGTACTTTAAATGTGTCTTTCTCTCCTCCAAAGGTGTCCACTGATCTTCCTGAGAAGCAGCAACAAATCGAGGATCTCCTGAGGGATTTGTCTTTGTACCAGGAACAGCTCTCCAAGCTCTCAGTTTGGGCCTCCACTACAAAGAATCAGCTTGAGCAGTCCCCTACTGCAGTGGACCCAAAGGTAATCTCACAGGCGTGATCAAGCACATATGTAGAACATACTGCCCACAGTCTTGCTGTTTCATAATACTGCCGTCTGTCGTCTGTATTTTTAGCCAGGTGTGGTGTAGTGGTCCATGGCTGGCAACCATCACATTACATTGATGATTTGATCCTTTCATTCACAAACAAGGTGTTTTCAAAGATTAAACTTTGAAGTTGTGCTGTATTATAAAAATCTGATTTAACATTTTTAATGACCAATTGCTTTGCCAGTCAAAGTCTTTAGAGAAAAGAAAAAGAATAAACTATCATTGGTCTCATTTAACACACTCTCTCAAATGTGTACCAAGAGAGTCTTTTAGATGACATAGGCTGTTTAATTAGACTCCCAGCATCATCTTTATACAGAGTTTCAGCTGCTCCCATCAGGGCACGGGTTTCGCTTCTCTTGACATGAAACTAACGGGTTCAGGAAATCATTTGTTTTGTCAGTTACTGAACTTATGAAGAAATCAGTACATCTGTACTTATGTGATTTTGTATTGTTTGTGGCTGGTTCACTCTGATTCGGCTGTATGCAGTTGATTGGTGTGCACATTGCTGCATGCTGTTTTTTATACTGTTTTTCGTAAAAACCAAAACTAAAAATGAAATTTTATATATATATATATTTCATTTTTAGTTTATGCTTATTTAAATAAAAATGCTGTATTAAAGTGTTGAGAATATAATGACAGTTACCACTGAGAATTTAAAAAAAATTATAATAAAAAGCTTGGAAATAAAATGTCCAGATGCTTTTCGGTAATGTTAAATTAATGTTACTGTGCAAAAAATAAAAAAGTTTCATTTCTTTATTCAAAATGCAATTATTAATTTTTTGTTCTATTAGGTAAAATGTGATCTGGACGTGTTTAGCTTAGTAGAACTAGATTGCTCCTTTAATGAGGGTTTGTTGTTAATTTATTTTATTTTTATTTTATGTAGATTGAGGATGATGTAAAGGAAACGAAACCAGCAGTGGAAGCTGTTTTGGCAAAACAGAGACCACCATGCCAACCAGAGAAGGTGTGTAATCGACCATGATATTATCAAATATGATCTCAGAAACACTATGACTATGATATTAGATTACTTCGCACACTTCCCATTTGTATCTACCATCGCTGTACTGTAATGTAATATATAAGACTATATCAGTCTATCAGCTTCATGGCATGAAACTTTATTTAATATAATTCTTCTGGATTGATGTATTCCAGGGGCAGTTTGATGGCCTCAGTGCAGATTGGACATCCATTCAAGTTCTCCTTAAAGACTGGCGAGACAAATGTCAGCTCGCAGGTATGAAATCGCGGAATGCATGATGATTGACGCTACAATAATATGCTATTCAAATTCATGCACATCTCATGTTGCTTATGTGATGCTAGACATCTAAAAGTCTGAACAAAAGATCACTTGTTACTTTCCAGCCGTAACTTTGACTGGTAGTGCAGCAGGGGATGCAGCCCTTGATAAATTCAATAAATCCTGGACGGAGCTTGATGATTGGCTGACTCTTTTGGATCACATGGTTCAGACTCAGAGAGTAATGGTCGGAGATCTCGACGAGATCAACGAAATGACGGTGAAACTCAAGGTCAGATTGTGACATCATTTTGCAGCTTTAATACGAGAGTAAAATACTATGTTTACTATCTTGCAGAGGCAATCTTTTATATTTTTCCTAAAGTCCCTAAAGCACCATTGGTGTAAACCAGGGCTGTCCACACTCGGTCCTGGAGGGCCGGTGTCCTGCAGAGTTTAGCTCCAACTTGCCTCAACACACCTGACTGGAAGTTTCTATGCCTAGTAAGAGCTTGATTAGCTGGTTCAGGTGTGTTTAATTAGGGTTGGAGCTAAAGTCTGCAGGACACCGGCCCTCCAGGACCGAGTTTGGACAGCCCTGGTGTAAACCAATGTACACCCTTTCTCTGATCCTTAGAATTACTTAGGCTGTGCAGTAAATGTTAAGGACATCTGTTATGATTTTCTAGCCTTCTCACATTAGAAATTAGCAGCAGAACCAAACCTTATCATTATTAGTTATTGATTCAAGGAAAATACTGTTGAATTGAGCTGCAAAAATTGTGACGATGAAGATCCATGAAGATGGCATTTAAATACACAAGTCTTAAAGGCACAGCATTAAAAAACAGACTATTTAATTAAACGGTCAGAAAATGTCTTTTGCGATTGTCTTTGTTAATGGTTCACTGAATCATTGGCTTATGCAGATTCATTCACTAACAAAACACTGCTGTGTGGTGCTCGGAGACGCACAACAATTCTACCGTGGCTTTGTTTGGAGCTATTTTCATTGCTGAAATTGAGCAAAAATAGACAATACTGACAATATTGTGTTTAAAATGTTTCTTGAACTGTTGTATAAAATCAATATCAAATTTGCAATTATGCAGGGAAATTATTTGGGGAAAAAACAACAATCTTGCTCGTGTGATATTGCTAAACTATATATATATATATATATATATATATATATATATATATATATATATATATATATATATATATAATATATATATATATATATATATATATATATATATATATATTGTTTACAATTTTTGGCCTCACATCTTGAATTTTAAGGGCATGCATTCCAATAGGCTTCATCACACAGTCAGTCATTGTCCTGCATCATGTTCATCAGCAAATACATGTAATGTAAGATAAACTTAACTAAAATTTTACATTATTTTTTCCATAATTAATTGGACCAAATTTACATGTTAAATCGACAACCCTAATTATTATAAAGTAATAATGTAAGTGGAACAAAATATATTTAGTGGACTAACAATATACAAAAAATAAACAGGGCGACTCTTTTACTGCATATAGTGGCACTTAAGACCACAATATGCCACACAACTCTGTGTTGAATTCTGTGTTGTGATTTAACAGTCAACACTGCAAGACATGGACCAAAGATGCCCACAGCTAAACAAGCAAATCACTGCGGCTCAGAACATGAAGAACAAAACCAATAACCCTGAGACACGGGCAACCATTACAGACCGCAGTAAGTCAGCTTTGCCTCATCATATTGTCTCTCAGTGATACACAGTATTTGTGGTGATGTGGAGGTGTCCACATGGTAACAGCTTGGTGGAAAGTCTCTGAAATAATGCAGCAAGTAAACAATGACTGTTGGCAAGGAGTGTGTCTTTCAAGGTCATATAGTCAACACTACTGAACCAAAACTGCAATATACTGTAAGACAAAATTATTTAATATCTGGTGTAATGTCTTATTGCTCATACTTTTGGAAAACCAAAATCTTTTTTTCCCCCAGAAATGAAAAAGAAATGTAGTTAAACAATGGCATTGTATTTGGTCAAGAAAATCAATAAGCCTGTTAATCAATTTGTTAGATTTTTAGTTAGTTAGTCTAAATAATAATTTTATTGACTTAAGTACATTGTATGAACTGTGATTGCATAAGCCATTTTCAGACCTGTTCCTTAGAAATGTTCTGTCTTCTTTTATTTCAAGTTGAAAAATTACAGGCACACTGGGAAGATTCCCACACCAAGCTGATGAACAGGGTCCTTCAACTGCAGAACATGCATAAGGACTCCAGTGATTGGTTGGAGGCCAGAAAACGGGTGGAGCCTCTCATTAAGAGAGCCAATGAAAAACTAGAGAGCTGGAATAAAGTTTCTCACAGTGTTGATGATTTAAAAGGCCAAAATGCAGATGTCAAGGTAATGTAGAATGAACGTCTAGGTTACTTGTGTAACCCTCGTTCCCTGAAGGAGGGAACGGAGACGTTACGTCAGTGACTGACGAATTGGGATCTCGCCCGAGAGCCCAAAAATGCAGATGTCAAGGTAATGTAGAATGAACACAATATCCATTTCATGACAGAACATAAGTGCGAAACTGAAATAAACTGAGTCAGAATGCATGTGATCTGATTACTACAAATAAATGCTATATTATTATATCACAGCAACTTTCTAAGGATATACAGCAGTGGCAAGCTCAGATGAATGTCACCAATGAGCTGGCGAACAAACTGCTGACCCTTTATGCAGATGACGACACAAGGAAAGTTAAACAAATGACTGACAGCATGAATCTAGCTTGGGACAACATCAAAAAGCGGTGAGCTTCTGTTTAAATCTTAGATTTTTCAGTATCACCAACAAGTGGAGTGGCATATAATAACATTTTTACTGAAAGGAAGTATCTGTGGTATTGTTGAGTCTGAAAATAATGCAGTGCTGGGTGCATAAGAGGTTATTTCAAAGGCTTTTAAGGTGCACTTGTTTTCAGGAGAATGTGTGATGTTTAAAGCATTTTCCACCAACAGATTTAACAATCTAATAATAACAATTATTAAATATTAAAGAAGTACATTAAGGTACTAATTTAATTCAACTTTGTTTCTGTATAACAGTGAAGTCATTTCCCTTTCAGTGCAGGGGACAAGGAGGCAGATCTGGAAGCCGGACTGCGACAATTGCAGTATTTCTACTTGGACCTGGAGAAATTCCTTAATTGGCTTACTGAAGCAGAAACCACAGCCAATGTCTTACAAGATGCCACATTTAAGGAGGGACTTCTGGAAAACCCTGCCACAGTGCGGCATTTACTCGAGCAATGGCAGGTATGCAACCAGAATTTCCAAATTGCGTACCTTACAGCAGTTTGCCCTCTTCATTTAAAGCATATAGTCACTCCACTCCAGCTCCAGTCCAGGTTAACTATTTCCTGCTACCAACAATCATTGATAAGATAATCCCTTCTCCAGGGTTTCCAGTTTTTTTTTTTGTCAGTCAAACCTCTTAGACGTTAAATAATTAGATGAAGTACCCGCTGAGATTTAAAGTTATTATTTCAGTAATTTAACAACACATTTGAATGTTTACGGTTGTCTGATGTTTATGATAATAATAATAAATAAAATATTAAAGGGGTCATATGATGCGATTTCAAGTTTTCCTTTCTCTTTGGGGTGTTGCAAGCTGATTGTGCATAGATAAGATCCCTGAAGTTGCAAAGACTAAAGTCTCAAAACCAAAGAGATATTCTTTATCAAAGTTAAGACTCTGCCACGCCTCCCTAAAACGGCTCGTTCTAACATGCCCCCACATATCTATCTCACTATGTGAAAATATTAGCATAATGCGGCCCAAATATGTACGCAAAGAAAGAAGACGTGGTTTCAGTAACCGCAGTTAGTGTTGAAGCAGCCATGTCAGGGAGAAGCTGTGTGTTTCTAGGTGAAAGCAAAAGCACTTTATTTGGCCTTCCGAAAGTAGATGCATTTAGGAATCTTTAAGATTACTTACAACAGAACAGCAATGCATTTTATGGACGACCGTTTCGTGAACCTAGGAGAGGAAGTAATTCTGACTTTGCTATGACAATCTGATGCTTCTGAATCAGCTACTGTTTTGTTATTAGTTGAAGTATTTGCTATTGACTGTTCAAATGCGGAGTTTTGCGCATCGTGTGTGTG